AACACGACATAATTTGAACAACATTTACTTATTAATACTTTTTGAGTAATTAATTTAATGTCGGCCTATCTCCATATAATAAAAATGTAGGGCCGATTCTACAAGTGTCAGTCAGACGGTAGGCCGACTCTATGTAATGTAATACAGGGCGTCTGTTTTATCTCAATACAGTGAAATATCTGGCGTGACAGTGAACGTGTTAATAAGTAAATGTTGTTCAAATTATGTCGTGTTTGATGTCATTTTCATCAGAAAAATCTCATCAATATGTTAAGAAAAATTTCGGGATAAAAAAACGTAAAATTAAAAAAGTTGGTATTTAAATCGCTTGGTTGCCTCGACTCACGTTTCATCCTTATCTTTTATTCGCTGCCCTTGTCTACGTTCGGCAAACTACAAAGGCGGGCGCGAGGCTCGATAACGTAGCCCTGATTCTACAAGTGTCAGGTTTAGGTTCCTTGCGGACTGACACTTGTGGAGAATTTACTGTATATGCATACGTTTCATTAAGCTCTGTTGGACATCTAATGGCTCTTTATACATGGCGTGACAGAGAATTTCGTATTTTCATTTTGTTTTGTTTGCCTATTCTACCATCTGGGTTTTTATTGTGTGTGACGTTAACAAGCTCCCATGCATATGCTACCAAACTACAAACTTAAAAATTCCATTGAACACTAACAAGGGAACATCCCGAAGTAATTACGGATTTTGGTGAAACTTTAGTATGTTGTAGTTCTCAAAAAAAATTCGACATTATTCTTTTATATTGGCAATCTTCCACAGGGATGGTGTAAAAATTACCTTCAAAGTTGGAGGTAGTAAATATATTTAATCTAATATCTCGAAAACTATTAGAAATAGAAGAATAGTGTAAGTTGACGAATTTTGTATTTTTCAATAACAAATTTGAAACATAGAAAATAATAAAAAATGTTTAAAACAAATATGTTTATTACCCCCATCTTCGACAGCGATTCTCGCCCTTCCATTCTATGTTGATGATTGCCGAGAGAAAACAATACGTATCAAATATTTTTGTTAATATTTCCATATTCCAAAGTTTCATCAGTGTCCGTAATTATCACTTAGGGATGTTCCCTTGTAAGTAATAATAGCAACAAAATATACTGGCCGCTCAATGTCATCATAAACCCAGCTGCATCAAAGGAAGATAGTCAAAGGAGTGTTTTATCATAAAAGGAAAAGTGAAACGTTAAAATTTAACGTTTATTTTACGTTAAAATGAAAGAAACATACACTGGTAACCGCAAGTTTAGAATAACTACACATTACAAAAAATGCAAGAATTTTCTGAGAATATTAAGAAATGTGTAATCGGCATAAAGAATTCTACTTGCAATATGAAAGTCCGTTGGAACAAGATAAAATGTTTTCAATATTTGCAACATTAATTCCAAATAGATATTCAAATGTTTAGCCAGCAGTATATTGTATGATCTGTCATATCTATACGTACCAATTATAAGTAAACGTCACTTAAAAGTGCAAACAGCCAAACATCCTTGAGAGGCCAATAAATTTAATCTTTACTTTAATCCTTCAATATGGTCTGAAGACAAGAATAATAATAATAATATTATTATTATTTTATTATTCTTTAGGTATGAATAGGGCCATTTAGTCGTATACAAGACTTGTCGATATTGTTTTTAGACCATATTGAAGATAGGGGTACCAGCGGTACAGGCAACCGACTGTAATTACATCAGTCCTTTTACAGCTCCTTGTGACGCTAATTTTAAAGACTCGATCCTGCAAAAGGGCTCGTTTTGAGGTAGAATTTCAAAGAATGTGACCATATACTTTTTTTAATTGGAACACCTCTAGCCCATCACGGAGAAATTTACAAAATAAGAATATGCTTATGATTTTCAGTATTATAAAATCAATTTTTCAAATAAAAAGAATATTATTACAATAGGGTCATCTTTCTAGATTAAAATAAAAAAAAAAGTGAGCTCAATTCGTCCAATAGTTTCCGAGATAAAAATTGGTAAACACAGCCTGTTTTCCTAAAAATGGGCAAATTCAAAGGTCCGTATTTTTTAAACAAATTCGAAACCAACTAAACCCCCCCCCCTAATTTCACGTGTACTACATTATATTTCATTTGGAACAAAATCCCTGATGTCGACGTGACAAAGTGATCGATTTGGTAGAGTATGGAGAGTCTTAGGTTTTCGCCTAATAAAATCCACCGCGAAAATGTCCCTAAAAATTCTATCTCCGAATATTAAAAATAACTCCAATTACATCATTTATAGTCCGGCATATTCCTACCTTCGTGTTCGCGATACCGTCACCAAAAATATCGCGCGAGAATAATTATGTACGGGGAGAATCGCGCGTATACGTACAATCCGAACGACCGAAATTAGGCGGAACCTGTAGCCTAGCGATTGACCTGTATCTTCGTCTGTCTTCTCGTTCACTAACTCAGGTGTGGTTTTCGAATCGGCGGGCGAAGTGGCGGCGCGAAGAAAAATTGCGCACGCAACGGAGGGACAACCCGCAACACCAGCAGTCACAGCAGCAACAGCAACAGCAACAACAGTCACAGCAGCAGCAGCAACAGCAACAGCACGCAGGAGGGGTGAGCCTGGTCGGAGCTGGTCATCCGACACCGCCGCCGGCCTCGGGTATTTTGGCTGGTCAACCACCGCCGCAAGCACCGCCCTCTCCACCTAGGATACATCATGGTTTCGCGCCCACCGCTGTTTACCCCGGAATACCCAGCATGCCTGACTCGTACAGGTGAGAATCACCGTGAATGTTCGATAAATGGTATAATTGAGGGACTCGATAAAAAAAAGGACACATGCCACATCTAAAGGGCTTTCCAATAAAAGCTTTAGGATGTTTTTTTGTAATAAAACGTACAGTAATTTAAACAATTTCACTTTCTTTTATTTCAATGTGTAGGAGAGGGGGAATTATTCAGGTCCTCCAGAAAAAGAAGGTTAGGTTAGGTTAGGATTCGAATCCGCGATCTTCAAGTCCGTAGCCTCACTGGCCAACCTCTTTAAAATACCACTGCCAACACCGCCTTCCTACTTTTTTTTCTATTCTCGTACTGGTTTTCTATCGTTCTTCTAAATCAACTACAAATAAAAATTTCGACTCGTTATAAATATACGTGAAAGACAATATCGGCCAAATAGCCACCATGTTTCTTTTGACAAGAAGCTACTCTTTTTTTCAAAATTTCAGAATGCCGATGGCATTTAGGTATAGTTGCGGTTGAATCCCGTCTTTAAGAATGTGGGTAGTTTGAGCACTGATGGTGTACACCTTACTTTTCATGTAGCTTCAAAGAAAGCAATCCTATAGCGTCAAATCGCACGATCTTGGAGGCCAATTAACATCGCTGTTTCGTGACGTACTGCTTCTGAACTTCGGTCGCAATAAATCCATTGTTCCGTAATAAATCGCTTTAACTCGTCCTTGCACTGTATAATATGACTCCATAACTAAAATTGTAATAGGTTATGGATGACAGTTGTCACTCATAACCATCAAAAACATTTGACATTTGAAAAACATAACCTAAAAACGTCTTAGAAATACTATTGGAAAACCCTGTGTATAAAGTTTTTGCATTTTGCACCGTCAAGTATCTCTCACAATCTAGCACCAATTCCATCGTCTTCTAATATTGTGGCATTTGTCCTGTTCAGAAGCATATTAAAATTCCTTAATATTGACAGCAAACAAAACTATTTTAGTCCTACGTTTAGCTGCAGAACATACTGGCAAAGTTTTCTGGAAATCTGATAAACACCCTGTATAATAAAAGAAGAAACTCGTAATGCTATAATAAGGGCCAAATGTATTGTCCGGTCAAGGCCATTTCTCCTCCGCCGCTTATTCGGTTCCACAATTCGGTTGTGGAAGTTGTAAAACGTGACCTTGACAATTTTCTTCGCGATTCCCACAAACTGCAATTTTTTCAAAATTTTTTGTACACGTCATCTAATAAACTAATCTTTCTAACTTCTCAAAAAGACTCCAGTGGTTTGGCCCAATTTTAAAAAAGTTATAAATACTTATGGACGGTAGTCTATGTATTGCGTTATAAAAACAAGTTAACCTGCCGAACCGCTACAGTACGAAAGACTCAAGTGGTTTGGCCCAATTTTAAAAAAGTTATAAATACTTATGGACTGTAGTCTATGTATTGCGTTATAAAAACAAGTTAACCTGCCGAACCGCTACAGTACATATGTATGCAGGTCTCGCTCGGTAGGGTACGAAAAAGTGACGGAGGAAGAATGACCATAACTGACCAATACGTAGCGTGGTCGTAAAAGTTGTCAGGACCCAAAGTGGACATGTTTGGAATGTCCTGAACCGAATTGACAGAAGTATGGTCACTTAATGACCTGAAACCTCGGCCAGGACCGTAAAAAGAAATGCTCAATACAGTGTCAATGTACTTCTACAATATATTGAAACAAAAATTGAAATCAAGTAGTAATTATTACTAAATAATCAAATATTATAATAGTACATGATATACTGTTAGTCATAAATCGTAATTCTTTTATTGTGCGGAGCCCTAAAACGAAATGCAGTTTATGACCCTAAGTGCCACGACATCAATTGGTACCGCAGTCCGAAGGTATAATTTACGACCTCGCTATATCGTGGCCGAGAGTATAATGTGAAATAAGTTATTAAATGACACCATCTAATGAACTGAAGGAAAGCACAGTATTAAGATCCTAATACGTTTCTTCGAAAAACATTCCAGTCCTATGACGTCCATGCCGAGCTTCACGATGTCCGGCGGCAGCCAACAGAACCAGCACACTACCAGCAGCATGTCATCGCTATCCACGGGCGGCGGGATGGGCCCCATGGGCATGACTGTGGGCATGACGATGGGCCCGAGTCCAGGCGCGTGTCTTCAGCAACGAGACAACGGCTACTCGTGCGGTGTTGCTCGTCCACCGAGTTACGAGCCTCTTCATCTTGGATACGGGGCACGGCCCACTTGCAGCCCCACTCAGCCATACCACACGGCGGGCCTGAATCAGTACAATCAGAACACCAGCTCGACCGGTGAGTGTCTACCGCACTCACTGCATTCGCTGCTTGCACTTTAGCCGACGGACTACTGCGGATAACACGCTATCCAGCCTGCCGGTAATGGATTATACTCGCTTCTGCGTTATCAAGGTCTCTTTTTTGCAATTACACAGCACGAAAATCCCGTTTCGGTTTTACCGATGCCGACGTAAGAACTGTTAAGGCAACGCTTTATGAGACGAACGTGGTAAAAGGATACCTTTGAGTTTAGGATTTTCAGTTTATTGTTCAAATTTAAGTTGTATATCATATGAAATTGCCGTTCGTGTAGTAATAATTTTTATTTAATTAAAAAGTGCAGTATTAATATTAATTACTTTTTCCTCAACGGGATACCAACTGATACATTCAGTTTGTAATAGAATTAGCGTTTTTCTTATTGGATAAGTTCTTCATACAGCTCACAGTACTACACAGAACTACACAGTATTAACACAGCTTATACAGCATTCATAATTTCATTATGAGTCGTAGAATTAATGCAATAGTTCATAGTGATAAAAAGAAAAGTAAAACAGAAGTTTTTAATAAATATTTTTGTAGAATGAAATATGTTGTAGAATAAAATAATACATATATTTTTTAGATAAAAGATGACAAAAAGAGAACATTGAAGAATATTGATATAAAAGAATTTATTAATATATTACTAGACAAGTATGTAGTTAGACAAGTGTTATTTAGTTATGCCCTTACATTTAATAACGATTTAAAAAGGTGATACAGATGCAACTTATATAGGTATAAAAATATTATGTGATAATAGTTTTATCGTAGATAAAGATGCGTGGATGTCAAGGTGACCGTATTTATTTTTTTCATATAATACACTATATTCTTCATACTCAATATAGAAACGTTTAAAGAGGTATAGTGAAAAGGTCATTTGAGATCATAAAAGGTCGTAAGTTAATAATGCGAAACTGGTCATTTGCTAGGCGTCGATGCAATAATAATGAAGCTTATATACCTATTCTTGTAATAAATACTAAACAATTTAAATTGCATTTTAGAAATCAAATTCTTTTAGTTTACTAATATAAAGAGTAAAATTATTTTTATTTAGACAGCATTTATAATTGTTAAGATAATAATTACTATTACTTGAGGATTATAGAAAAAGCACATAGTTACTTTTAGGCATTTTACCATTGTCTACAAATTAGTACCATTCGTATAAAAAATCCTTCTACAAACATATTGTAATATAATGTACATTCTATAATTATTTCTATACTTAAAATTTTTTATTTCTCTAATTTCCTTTCATTTAGTTTATCTAAAGGAATCTTCAGAAATTTTGATTTCTGATGCATTATAACTCATGAAACACACTGCTTTTTACGCGCTGCTAAAGAACTTGCCAAAGTACGCTATTCATAGTGCAAAATATTAACTGCAATGTAATGTAATATAATATCAGTTCTAATAAGTAGTTTAATAATCAGAACGACCTTAATCGCAAACGCAATTGAAAACCACAGGGGAGAGTCGTGCAGTACCGGCCACTCTAAGTTTTTGTACTGTAACCTGGGCTAATATAATACCAAAAAGCGTACCGATTAACACGTTAAAATAACAAAATACTTGAAATCGAAAGAAAGAGTAAAATGTATCGATTAAATAATTATGAAATCATCTTCTAGGTCTGATATCACCAGGCGTCAGCGTTCCGATCGCAGTACCAGGACAACCAGCACCAGACATGGCGGCGCAATACTGGTCCCCAAGGCTACAGTGACCGTGGTGGTCATCGGTGTCGACATCCTCTCCGTAGGCTTGAGCTTCTTTGACTTACGTTAGTCTCACAAACGTTAGACGCAAGAGAACGCAAGGAGAAGACGTTCGAAATCGATGAAAGGCAGTTCTTGCAAATGTTTAATAAAATCGATTCTTCAATAGTGATCGCCGACTGCCTTTGACAATCGAAAGACGATCGCTTATACAAAATCGTTCGAAGAACGAATGAAGAAGATAACGATGATGATATTAGAAGAAACGTGTAAAGTAAATGTCACGTCTGACGGAAAACATTGCACTAGAAAGAAAGAAAAACGTAAGAGAGAAACAAATGTTACGCGGAAAGAACGTTTCTTTTGTGCAAAATGAAATCTTTTGTAAATCGATAGGCGTGTACGATTAATAATACAGATTACAGAAAAGGTGTTGTGTTAAATTAATTGTCGGTAGTTTCTCGTTATTTTTAATACAATTTGTTAACGCAGTTGTAAAAAAGTCACCAAACTTGAGCTTCAAAAGCGCATTGACCGAGGGGCAAAGTGACCGATCAGCAATTAGTATATACACTCGGAATACTCGTGCACGCCTAAGTGAATAATAAGAAAACACTTTTACCTCGAACAAATTCACAGAAAGAACAACAACTATCTCTAGAAGTCTCTTTATCGTAGACTCGCGTTATTATGGTCGTTGCAGCGAGGGGAATGAACCAAGTCGTTCAGAGAATTCGCATAATCGAACAGCTACAGTAGTGGTGCAAAGTTCACACTATAAACGATCGATAATAACCGCTTGAGGATCTCGTTTACGTTTCTATATAGCTATCTTGATTCGCAAGCGAAATAGTTCTCAGGACGCAGTTACAGCTTTTTTCTTGTGAAGAAACTCTTGTTTGTCGCGAGTTGTACGATGAGAATCGTTTAGCAAGGAGTCAAAATGGCGGCCAGTTCGCCGATATCGTTCTCCGTGGTGGTCCATGACGACGCCAGGTCGAGAAGACTCTTTTTAATGAAGCTACTAGGTACCAAGAGTTTTTTGATATGTTATTAGCAGAATTTACGTAACGAAATGTTTTTGTTTCGATGGTAATTAAATAATTATAAACAGCGAAGGTACATCGATGTACATTACAGCGGAAATTGAATACATTAGAGGTCTTCGAGGCACCCGTTCACCGTGGACGTTTCAAATATTCCATAAAGAGCGACAACACAGTTTTGTGAATTAAATCATGGAAATAAAGGAATTGTTCAAATAATAATCACGTATCGCTTCACGTTCACACCGTATAATTACTTTTTGATTGTTTTCTAGCGGTATTATGAGTACGTATGTTAGGAAAGTTGTATCATATTACTATTTATATTATAATTTTTCGGAAATATCTTACATCACTTTATACACTTCCATCACACATCAGATGTAGCCGCGAAAAATATTTTCTCACTTCTCTTTCGGCACTGCGATACATTTTTCATCTGGTGTAGCGATTAATTAATTTTCATCTGCAAAATATATGTCGTTGTTAATACAGATGACGAATATCGCATGAAAATAATTTAAAATCGTAAGAGGTAAAATTTGTATTGTATGAAAGATACTTTAATTTCTTAACCTTACGATGCAAAACGTACAAAGTTTTTTATGAACCTTGTTTTAATTTTTTCAAAAATTGACTAAATGGATAAGTCGGACAATTGTGACTAATTTTGGCAATTCATGGTTACTCATTTGATTATTCATCGATTCAGAAGAAACACTTTCCCAACACACTACGTATCTTCTTGGTAAGGAAATATTCTTGTGTAAAGATTGTACAAGAGACGAGAATCTTGATCAAAGAATTTATTTCAAACATTTTCTCGTTCCTTAACGCAACTTCTGAAATTCAAACGTCCTCATATTTCCCTGATTCTGAGGTGACAATTTTATTTATTGTAACAAGCGAAAAGAAAAGCAATTCATATCCGAATCAGAGGGGCGAGCAATTGACGGTCCGAGAGAGAGAAAAAAAATTGTATGAAAAATAGGAAGCGGAAAAAGAAAATTGTACAACTTTCGCGGGACAATTTTTGTGGAACGATAGCTTCGAGGAAAAATGGCGGAGGATGTATCAGTGAGCGAAACATGTTAGCAATGAAGAGTCTCACAGAGATTTTTAACCGCAGTTTCTTAGACATAACTTCTATAGGCGAATAAATAAAACAAAAAAAAAAAAATGAAGAAGCGTAAAAATAGTTTTTAAGTCGGTATTATTTATAATCGTGTAAGGAGACAAAGCGAAGCAAGAATAATTGAACGTTTGTTGTGTGTACATCGTAAAGATATCGACATTTATATTATAGTTGATTCTAATTCCCCAAGTATCCGATTAAAGTGAGGTCGACTCATCGTTTATATCCGGTGCAAGATTTTGATCAACCAGAATGACGCGAAACCAGGTATGTTAACCGTACGATTATGCATTCGAAATAAATAGTGTGTGCATTTAAGTAACTGTCGATCCTCCATCACTTACCTTCTAATTAAATCACCTTATATTAATAAACGATTATCTTCGCTTATTTTATTTCATTCTTCGTCATTCATGGGAGGAATGAAATAATAATTCGTAAAAATGTTCTTGATATTCGTTCGATCACTTTCCGAATCGTTGGCATATGTTTTCAAATTTTAGTTAAGTTGAAAATAATCGATATTGAATTATATACTTTCTATGTAACCAATTTCATGAACGATTTTCATTTTGAAGTAATCTCTCTGTCGAAGAACTTATTTGGACATATTTATTTCGAAAAATAGTATTAAAAGGAAACAATTTCTTTTCGGTTAATGGATTTTATATATGAAATTTCCTTGTCTGTTTCAACGGATTATCGCGTCAATTTATTTTAAGTGACAAGCACGAAGACATGATTTATTCTAAGTGTTACTATATTCTTAACTACATATCAACTAATTTAGCATACTTTTATTTTTTTTTTCTAAAACGCTTTGAACTTTGCAATAATGCTATCATTATATTTACATATTCCAAATTGTAATTTTATTAGTGTCTAACTATCTGATCGAATATCAAATAGGGGATCGCTTGATAAATTTTTATAGTTTTCGGAAATTTAATTTCAGGAAAAGCCATTTAACATCTTTAAGACACGCAATACAATATTTCAAAACAAGTATTTGCAAGACTTATCCTTAATATGTTTATTTAGTTAAATTCAGATCGATCTCAAAATTACTTTCAGGAAGAAGTAAAAAGAAACGTAGAGTCTTCGTTCTACATGAAAAATAAACAATATTTTCTTCCCAAAATTGTTTATAAAATCATTCGCATAGTTTAAGCACAACTAATTTAAACACCACTTACCTTATATTACGTCCTTGTGGGCACTAATTATTAATAAATAAATAAAATATTCAAATGGGCAATAATTAATAAAATACTCAACTGAGCAATAATTATTAATAAATAAATAAAATACTCAAATACACGAACAATTGGAATCCATTTTTTTCAAATTCATTCCTTAAAACATTCGATCGATTACAATTATACTAAATCATTTTGAGATATTGAATCTTAACTCTCTTATCGGAAAATTTTTTAATTAGTAATTATCACATGCAAAATGTCCAAAATTCAGAATCCACTTCGTGTACCCTGTTACTTCCTTAAGCAGCATACGGTATATGTAATTTTTAAAACAACGATAAATTTGAATTTTATTTGAATTAAATTTGAATTTAACAAATATTCTGTAATTTCTTCACAATTTAACAAACGAAAATCTGAAATCGGTGATAAGTTTGATAGGGATAAGAAAGAAAACAGGCAGCAAGTAGTTTGCAAATGTAACAATCGTATATTTGTTCCAATTTAATACTTTTCTTTTATACAATCGCATAAGAAGGTACTTCGATTTATTTTATGCTTTCATTGAAAAAGAAAAGTCACCGGTGATTGCGGAACAATTAAAAAATGTTGGGCGTATCGGCCGTTCAGAATTCGCTTAACGTCTTTCACCATCCAGGCTAATCTCAAGGAAACAGTATCGAATTTGTCAGTATTTCCTAATTCTTACGGTAAAATGCAAATCGAATGAAATACATGCTACAATTCTTTTTAGAATTTATTTTATTCGTATAAGAATATGCAGGCTGATTAAAAGAGAATTGAATATCGTTTAAAAATTGCATTTCCCACGAACACGTAATCTATACCAATTTCTAAAAGAATTCTCCAGTTTTTCTTGCACTACTGATCTATTTATGAAACATCATGCTATGCGATTTTTTTCCATTACTATCTTCTCTAATTTATACTTTTTACATTTTCTTGGTTTTTCAGTGTAATTTATACTCCTTAGGAAGAATGCGTGATTACATCCTGCTACTAAGTATCAATAATTAAATACGAATCGTTAGTATATTCTAATCAAGCTAACTATTATACAATACTAGCAAAATATCGGAAGGAACTCTTCCAAAATAAGGCGAGTTGTACGTAAAAAAATTCAGGCGAGAAAAAACGAGAAAAGTCCAAATTCACAAAAATTTCAGATCAAAAGAAGAAAACGAGGTAATGCATCGATACTATCTCACTAATCGCTACCTGTAACATTGCAAACATTTGGGTATAAATTAAAGGGCAGAATTAATGAAAAAACGCATAGTAAATTATGTATATGTAAAATTAACGAGAAATTGTCAAAGATTAAAAATAAGAGTTATAGAGCTCCTCCATAAATTGATTTAGACTACATTTCTATTCGAAGCTTGAACACACAACAGTAAATTGTTGGAAATTTTCAATTCTTTTAAAATCATTCTACACAATGAAGGATGTAATAATATTTTTGAAAAGTGAAGCAATTAGAATTTCTTGCAGTAGAACCAAAATGTCAAGCATTTAAAGGGTCAAAAGTAATACACTACCATTGCCCATCGTTACAAATTGCTAGTTTTTTCTTATGTAAAAGAAGAAACTCGTTAAATTAAGGTACAAATTAACATTTTAATCTTAAATATACATTTAAGATTACGTTACTTATTTTTTTTCTTTTCTTTTTCTTTTTTTTATTAAGAAGTTTATTTAGATTATGAACATCAGAACGAGGAATTATTAATAAAAAGTAATGGAAAAATATTTGTGACATTATTTTCCCTTGACGATCCAGTACTGAGAATAACTTATAATGAAATTTTCTTCTTACACCTCGTAACATGTTTCTTATGTAATTATTTCATTTGTGCAACTACTCAAATCAAAATTCATCCTAAATGTTGTACAAAGTATAAATCATTCTAAGATATATTACATAATAATGGAAATACGAAAAGATCTATTTAGAAACTATTAAGAGCATCAAATATTAACATTACTACTGTTATTATTATTATTATTGATTATATACAGTGTATTTTATTTAACTGGAACCACAGTAATATCTCGTGGACCGTTGAAAATATGAAAAAGTTGTTTTAATAAGTGTTATTCATAATTAATCGTGGGGTATTTTGTATATGAAATTGTAGGGGAAATTTCAAAGACAACTTAATTTTTTTAAATGGAATATTACACATCTTTATTCATATCATGGCGTTTGTTAAGACGGGAAGTATCTTCGTATCTTCAACGGTCTACGAGATATTCCTGTCTCCAGTTGAACAAAACACATTGTAGACCAGGCTCGGTAACTACAATCACCCAAATTTGTCGAAAATTTTGGAGAAACTTTGTCTCAACGCAACCAAAGAAACATCTCGTTCGATTTGAAATTAGTTTGAAAGCATTTCCATATTTCTATGAAACGTATTACTATCTATGCTATTTATAGTTCAATGTAAAATTGTTAACAAAAGCTTTCTCCAACCGTGATTAATGTTCAAGTATACTTAAATACCATGGATTATCAAGTTATTCTTTTGATACTAACATATTTCATATACTTGTTTATAATCTCCTACTCGAATGCTTTGGAAACAAGCCCGACACCTTTGTAAATAAGAAATTATAGTTACGAAAATACAGAGCGACGAATTTTAGAGGATTTAATCAATTTAAAGGAAATACTGTTTGAAAATAAATGAAATTGGACCGTGAAGGGTTATTATCGTCTTCGATCGTAATTACGCTTCGATCATATGAAAATTGATAAACTTATTAGCAGTTGTGTATACACGTACGGAGCGAGATATTTAAACAAGAACATATTCCCATTGGTTCTGAATATCTGTGATATACAGGATGTTCCCTTTAACTGGAAACAGAGAATTATCTCACGAGGGATTGAAGTTTAGAAAAAAATGTTCCTGCAAAAGTTGTTTGGTATATAAAAGGACATTAGGTAGTCTAAATAATTTTTCTGTGGGCGTAGGAGAGAGGGAGATATCAAAGTTAAGTTGATTTTTTTAAATGTTTTTTGAGACAAATTCAACGAAATGTCACATTAAGTCATTTCATTTCATGGAAAGTTGGAAAATCGTGGAGAATTTGTATTAGTAACACAGTCAAGCTGGACGAAAGCGTGCGACACATATTGACCTGACACCTCGATTCTTCACTACTTCATGATTTTTCATAAAACGAATGCCTCTCAACAAATGATACCATATTATGAACAAAAAAATACAGGGCTCCATTTAAAAAACTTAAGTTGACTTTGATGTCTACCCCACTACTACACCTACAGAAAAATGATTTAGACCACCTAATGCCTCCATATTTACCGAACAACTTTTGTAAGAACATTTCTTTCATAACTTCAATCCCTCGTGAGATATTCCACCGTTTCCAGTTAAACGGAACACCCTGTATAAGTTTGAATTTTTTCATTTTAATATTTAGAATTTCAATAATTTTTTTCAAATATCTGTCTAACATTTAGGAATAATTTTGAGACTATTCCTATTTTTATCTTAACCGATATTTCCTGCAAATAGGAATATTCTTATTTTTAGTATTAAAAGTATTACCAAATACGCTTAGTTTTTATAACAATATTTTTAATGGTAGAAACAATTTTTTTTATTTCAATAGAAATTTCTCTAACAATATGTGGTTGAGATTTTATTTAAAACGTACTGTCTTTGTATAATGAACTAAACATCATGCAGAGTCAAGGAATGAAATTACTACTGGTCATTTTAAATAATAAAAAATGTGTTCTTAGGAAGAATAAATTACAACATCGACGCACTTGAAATTTTCAACAAAAAATGGCAGTGTAAAGAAAATATTCCTTCCACAATTTGTTTTTTAACAAGCATATTCGCATAATTCTAAGTAGGGATGAGCTGGAGTTCCTGTTTATATATATCACTCTGTACAAGATAAAAATGTCTATCAGTTTAAGTCATTTAATTAACTAAACATATTAAATATAATACGTACGTAATGTACAAGGAATTTAATGTTTATATAAAGCGAACAGAGCGCTCGTATAACCTGAAGAACAACACGAAAGAGCGAAGATAGAAGAAAGAAATGCATTGTTTGAGAATTATCGTCACGATAAAATGCTGTAACACAAAAATTACACAATAAAAAAAGGTTCGACAAGAAGGCGCTATATTATCGTTATCGAAGAAAATGAACTACTAGAACGATAAAATATCAATATTTAAGCATAGAATTGAAATCACCATTACCAAAGCTCTAATATTCTCTTTCCCGTATAATTTCGTATAAATAGAAAATTTGGGAGGGAAATGTTTTAACCTTTAAAAGTATCGTAGAAACGTAAATTCCACTAGATCATTCGCTCTCATCTAACAACGGTCGAACCAAATTATGCAATGACTTGTCGCTAAAATTCTTCGTCACAAAGCAATCGAACTGAAAACGATTATACACCTCATTTGCTAGCAGTCTCGAGGACCAACGCTATAAGGGCAACTATCTAAAAATTTTCTTCGCCTATTTAATAAACAACCTACGACAGAAGTCCATCGATGTTCCAGCTAGAGTGAACAAACTCATTTCGGCACCAAAGAACAAGATAGAATGTGACAGCGGTCCTCTCTCCCTCCGAAAAAAAGCAAGTTGAACGATGAAACGTTATTTTTCCTTTCATCGAAAAACGATAGGAAGAGAAATGATCGAACTGAGAAGAACGAACGCGCCATTCCAGTCGATTTCTCGTAAGTAACGTGTCCCTTCGTCAGTCCAGTCTCAGCTTCCCCCTCAGACCGAGCTTTTCTCTTTGAGCAACGCGTCGATGTCCTTCAGAATATCGTCCGAAGCCATGTCCAACGTCAGATAGTCCTCCTCGTTCATATTCAATAGACTATCGCAAGAAGCCGCGGTTTCCTTCGTATCCTCTATAGTATATGTACCGACCAATTTTCTTTCATCATGTTTCTCCAAAGTCGTTTGGTCTTCATCTGTACTACTATCACATAGTCTAATCTCTACTTCGTTCTTCCTAATTGTATTGCTCGATCCAATTGATTCTGAATTATCCAATCTATTTACAGAATCGGTTACTGAACTCTTTGTGATGGATTCTTCAGTCTTCTCCTCGACAATCGTTTCTTCTTCACAACTTTTCTCTAGTAGTTCACGAACATTCCTCAGTTCCCCAATTTCACTTTCAATCGACGTAAACCTCTTTGGAGATCTCCTGAGCTTAACAGGTGGCACGTTACCCACTACAGAACGAGTACGATCGGTATTGCACTTGACCTTGCGCCTGGCCATGTCCTCCTGGCAATCCTCCAGTGACCTCTTCACCCCCCTGACGGAGACAGTCTCTCTAAGTTCAGCCAACGTCTTCATGGCGTCTTTCAGAAACTCTGTTGTCGATTCCTCTTTCTTTTCCATAGAAATCTTTGATTCCGTACTTTTCTCGGGTAACTTCTCCTGAACAGCTTTGTGCCTCTTTCGACGACGAATTTCCTCCAATGTGAGGACCTTGAAGTCCAAGCTCTTTTCGCCGTTTTTCTCTTCGTTGACCGGAGGGTACAGACAGATCCTTTTGGTCCTTCGAGTCTTGATCTTCCCGCCGCCCACGTCGCTCTGGTAGTCCTCGGTCTGATAGGAATAGTAAGCTGCGCTTTCTGCCTGGATCTCCTCCAGTCGAATCTCTTCATACGTCTTGCAGTAAGGGACCCTCGGCTGTGGCTTTACCGGAGACGGTACACTTTCATTGTCTGACTCTGGAAGAAACACAGCACGAAATTGCAGGAATCTGTTTTTCTAAGTAATAGGTGAACGAGGCTTCTCCATAATTCTGGTCGACGCTCATCAAATCCTAGAATCCTCAGACATCTTTCTCGAAACGTCTCCTTTTCACTTTCCCCAACATTTTATAGCTACTCCTTCAAAATGAAATTTCACTTGACTGGTGATAAAGTTATATTTGATTCATTGAAAATTTTACTCAGTGCCTCCAAAGCATCTTTCTAACGATGGAAATTAGTTAACGGCTTTTAATTAACTCTAAACAGAGTTGTGATCGTGGATTAGTGATTAAGTTCAATCTGGTACCCTCTGATTCGTTCCTGTTATCATCTGATTAGCGTTTCTATCACGAATTTAAGCAGTTTTCAATCTCCGACAGAACTTACCGGGAAAAGTTTTTACTTTTTCTAATGAAAAAATTCGGTTCGAGCTAGAAATAAGGAGAGTGTTTAGTACAATTCCAATACTTTGATCGATATCCCTTGGAAGCAGATTACAGGATGATCCATCTCCGCGTCTCCTTGCAGCCAGCGTCTTTGTTTTCTTTTGTTTTTCCTCTTTTTCCCTCTATATTCTCTTTATATTAATACTTCATTCTCTCTGATTTCTTTTAGTCACGTGTTATTCCCAGATATTTAACTCTTTACAAAAATCACAAACGAAACTAGCATATCCCTGGTATTAGAAATCTACCTGTATGGAGTTTTCCAATTTTTCGATCAGGTAATTAAATATTACACCTGACTTATGCTTAAAATCCAATGGGTGAATCATTATCGTCGTCTTCGTTGTCTCTTTGCATTATTTTTTTTTTTTGTGCTCTTTTTCTCTTTCTCTCTTTCTTTCTGAGTCTCTGTCTACTAATCGGTCTTTGAAAGGTCTCTTTGAAAACTCGTTTCCTTTTAGTTTTTTTTTTTTTTCTATTTTCTAGCCCCTCCAGGGTTTTATCTCCAAATTCAACAAAGAACAACGATCGAAAAGCATTTCACGAGCTATCTGTGAATCTTACGCGGAAATCCTTCTTGTTTTCAAGTGAAAATGGGAGAAACGTAAATACATTTGTAACAGAACACAGTCAAAGAATCGATCATCGACACCAAGTGAAAAATTCAACGATGAAAGATCAACGAGAAGAACCAAGTTTCCAAGTTTTTTGTTTAGTAACTGTCCAAAAATCTATCCTATTTTTCTTGTTGTTGTTGTTGTCTTTTTTGTTCTTTTAATGAGGTACAACATTCGTGAACATTTTACAAATCAAATCGGCCATCCACTCGCTACTACGTGAATCGAACGATTCGAGCGTGAAAACAATATACACCGTGTGTCTCCAGGTGGAATTCATAGTTTCGAGTGACGCATGTACAATTTCCACGCAGGGAAAACGGCAAACATTCCAAAGTTCACGAAACGTTAATAAATTATTACGAACCAAATGATTGCGCAACAATTGGTTAGGTTCAAAGTCTTGAAAAACATTGGAATGTAATGCGATCGATGAGCTAAATGTAAAACCATCACGAATACAGCAGATATTCGAACGTTGGAAATTCGTTTTCTTTTTTTTTATTATTATTATTTATTGCTCCAGGAAAGTAGAAATGATTGCAAAAATTGAATACTACTTCTTTCCCTGAACAAATACAACAAAATGGAATATATTTGTTTGAAAAATGAATTGTCCGATATTCGAGATAGTTTCGCTTAGCTTAGAATCGATTCATTGAAATGAATGGACTCGACAGAATAAACGCAAAAAAATAGCATCGAGAACTAATCGACCAGTGTACAAAGACGATCGGCCTTTCCTTAATTATAACAAAACACATAACTGTTACGTGTTTTTCAAAGTAAATTTAGAAAAATCGTCTGTGTCACGCTGGCGTTATTTTCCCTTTCGTTTCATGGCATCAAAGTTTATTGAAATCCAAGTAATCGTCTCCATAAAAATTAATGTTTTCCATTCGTTTACATCGATTAGATTACGGAATTGGAGTACTTATCGCATATTCAGCGTATAATCTCTCTCTCTCTCTCTCTCTCTCACTTTCTCTCTCTCTCTCTCTCTCGCTCTCTCTCGATCGAGTCCCTCTCTTTACTCGACATTTAAGAAGGGACCTGCTCGCCTTTTCTCTCATTATTGATCATCCAATAAAGTGTCGTTATAAACGAACGCAACGACAATTTCTCTGACTCATTTGCATGTGTTCAACTTCTCCATAAAAAAAGAAACTAATTGACAAAATGAAAACCGTATGATTGTTTCATTTTTAAATTCTAAATTCTGAACAATCGATAATAATAGTCTTTAACTTTTTTTTTAATTTGAAAACCTGTATAACTGGTACTTCATTTATTCATATTCCGTGATTTTTCTTTCTGCCAATATAAATGACTGGCGCAGAATACGGATGGTAGAAATTGTCGTTGATCAAAAGATTGCACGCGTAACTTCCGGTATTCAATGCATCACGGAACACGCGCATTATAATTTCAAGAAAAAAAAGGACGCGAGTCTTCGTTTACAACAATACCGATATAACAGAAATGCGGACGACAAATAAAAACGGTCGCACTATTGTGAAGGCAGTAGTAACAATAAATAAGAAAGGAAAGGGAACAAGACAGAAAAAAAATAATAATCGATCGACGAAGTAATATATAATTCAAATATAATAGAAGACCATCTCCCGGATGGAGGACAATGATTAAGAACAATGATTGCAGCTGGACGCACACGATAATCAACAATTTAAAAAAAAAAAAAAGAAAAGAAAAGAAAAAATCAAATACCAAAGAAAAAGGAAAGAAACAAAGAGAAAACCTGCACCGAGTACCCCTTAAAACGGAGAAAAAGAAAAACACGCGTAACTCGAAGCTCGTTGCGAAACAAGAAAAGAGAAAGAAGGAAATTCAAAAAAATTACGAAACCATCTAAGAATATCGATACAATTACGAAACCATCAAAGAATATCGATACTCTTATAATCCAACGAGAAAAAAATAAAAAAAAAACAAAACAAACCAAAAAAGATTATATAAAGATCGTACTATAAATGTGGCAACGATCTATCGAGGAATTTCATAAAATGCAACAGAAAACGAGGATAAAACTTTTTTTCGAACGAACAGTGTTCGATAGAAATCGGAACAAATTACACGTTAAAAATTCAGCTAATAAATAGTGATTAAGGTCGTCGCCGGCGACACGAGTCCAGCTGCTGATCGTTTTTCTCTTTTTCTTTTTTTCTTTTTTCTTTCCCTCTCTTCTGCATTTAAACGTTCTAGATTAGCATTTTTACAACTATTTCGTCTCTCAATAGGCACGCACACACGCACTCGCGAAGAAATGACACGCGTTACAGGCCGTGTGCTTCGAAGAGAACAAGCGATAATTGCACTTGCTGCATGAGAACACGTCAAAAGACGATCTTGTTGGGCTTGGAACGATCGTTTCGTCTGAAAAGATGCATCTCGAATTTTCTTTCTCAACTGTGTATCACTGTAAATTTCATTTCACGTCTTTTGCCATTCTCGAAATTCTTTCTTTCTTTCTTTCATTTTTTTTCTTCTCTTTTTACATTTTTCTTGCTTTCATTCTCGCATTTTAATTCTCGCGAACACGCCCTTTCATACTTCATTACTTGAAAATACAGTACAGAACGCCGTTGAAAAATAATATGTTTAGTGCAACAACGTCAATAATTACAAAGGCCTGTAATTATCGAACTGACTCGGTACTTTCTGTGTATATTTAATCTTCAGTGCGCTATTATCACATTTCTCGTAAATTCGCGAATAAATCGATCGGATTTCATGAGTCTCGACTGTTTGTAACATTAAATTAACATTTCTCTGGCAAGATAACGGAAAAACGAGAAACTGAGAACTCTCACCCTCTCCCACCCTACCTACCCTACTCTCACATTCTCTCTATCTCATTGCCTCCTAGTCTCCTCTATAATATACAATCTTTCTTCTCCTCCATGCTTATACTCGCATTTCTCGTTTTCTTTCATCCCCACTACCTCCCACCTTTTACTTTTCTCCCCTTAAATCACAAATTTGTTCATTCGCAAGTTTACGTACACGATTTACGTAGAAAACGAAGAAATTCTATTGCGTTACCTCGAGATATTTCAAACACGCATTTTTCATGCAAACATTTTGCATGACTTTCAAACGAACGGGTTCTTTTTTGTTCTTTTCTTTTTCTAATTTTCATTGAAATAAGAAAGAGAAATTCACTAGGAGGTTAAGACGAAAGTCTAGGCACTAAAACGTAGAATTCTGTCCATATAAATCGCAGAATAGTAATAATCCCGAATTCATCGTTCGCGAGATCGATGCTCGACATTCAGACACGGCGACGATTAACTCGATCGTGAATATATCAGTTAGCAGTTAAATAGAATATAATTACTTCATTATGCTGTGTACGGTAAGTCGTAATAAAGATTACATTTTTTTTTTGTTTTTTTTTTTCATTATATCTCTCGTGCGGATCTAGGCGCAAATAGTATTCCATAATAAAAATAGTGTGGGTGTGGGTGTGTGGGTGTGGATCTGTGTGTGTGGATGTGGGTGCGCGCACGCGCGTAGGAGGGGGCTGCGTGTGTGTGTGTGTGTGTGTGTGCGCGCGTGTCGCGCGTGTTACTGGAATCTAGAATATTCTTATGTCGAAAACTCTACCTTTTTCATTTTTAATATTCTAATGGTAAACAAAGCGACGTATAATAATATTATTCGAGCATGATGCGACTGAAACGAAATTTTACACGTACTATTCCACCAAGTTCCGCTTTTTTTTTTTTTTTTTTTTTAAAATACGTATATGTAAATATGTATCTGTGTATGCATGCAATACGTGATATAAAGTTGCATTTCTCTTCCCTTTGAAATTCTCTCGCTTTTAGCGCAAGCGCTTATCCCCTTCTCTATACCCGCGTATACCTTCGTATAAATACGTAAATATATATTTGTGGGAATACATATTTATATATTTATATTCGTAGCATTGTATTTATATTACGTAATCTCACCGTTCAATCGTTCATCTCGTAATTCACACGCGATTTCCGCTTCCTTTACTACGAAAGTACGAGAATCTACCATAATCGAACAAAGATGGCATCCACGAAAGAAACGAAACGTATCTAACCTTAAAATTTCCCTCGGTCGAAATTGAACGTATAACATTAGTTTTTTAATGAAATCATCTGAAAAAAATTTCTTTCGATACAGATGCTTTCGTTTATTCATTCTCATTCACCGTGGAAATTTCTATCAAGTCGTATTTCGCATGAAACGAAACTTGTGCTGCTAAATTAAAAATTACACGAATTCAAACAAATTGTCAGATTTCTTTCGTGCAGCACGATTTGGTCAAACGTTCGTTTCCCTCTGCAAATGCAAAATTTTACGATCGATTTCCTTCCTGTTAGTTCGATGATGCAAAAATTTGGACGCAACAGTCTGTACGCTGTTGTGACAAATTTTGTCTAAACACGAATAGTTATATCACTGTTGCTCATTTACTTATTATCCCATGCCATTTCGAAACTCGCTAATTCGTGTGGGAAGCCAAAACATATGAAGGCATTTATCGTATTTGTTCGTGTGTACGCACTATATAAATTAAGGCTGGGACACTGTTGAATCGGATACTGCTTATCCCTATATATGGAAACTCATATTTCTTTATCTCCTACTCGTTCAATTCGCATTTATCTTTATCTTTTCAACAGAAAATCATCATTACTGTGAATTGCATGTAACGATACACGCCGTATTACACGAAAAAAGAAAGCACGTGTGTGCGCGTGTATTTGAGGCAGTATTCGACTCGAACAATTTTCTCTTTCGACTTATACTTTATTAAGCTTAAAGCATAACCGTCTTAGAAATCGTACACAAAAAAATTTTGGCATACCTTACGCAATGGAAAGACAACTTTTTTTTTTTTACTTTTTCTTCTTTTTATCATTTTGCACGAATAGGTTATGCTTCAAGCACATATCTTTCTGACAAAAGAAGCATTCTTACTTTTTCTTTATCTTTTTCAAACTATCAAACACCAAATATATATTAAAATTCAGTCTCCATAAAAAATAAACAAACTGCTTCACCCTAATCAATCTCAGAAGTCGAAATGGTTATCAAGAAATCTGTGCGAGTTCAAATCGTGTGTGTGTGGCAAAGCGACGACCCATAGCTATCTTCTTATTTCATCCAGTATAATTTCATGTTTCAGTATTGTTATAGCACAACGAAAAGACGTGGGTACTTCGATCTTGTTTTCTATTGTGCGGCATTCGGGAAAATTCAAGGCTCATCGCGCTGCCGCTGGAGAAAGATAGCCATAGGCAGTTAGAGGGCTACAGGCAAAGTTTAGATATAGCAGCCCCTGCAAAAATTGATATTCAAATCTACGTTTTTTTTTTTTTTTGTTTTTTTTCTCGTTCTTTTCTGTTATCTTTTTTTGTTTTTTTCTGTTTTATTTAGATAAGATCATCATGCTCTTTTTTGACGATACAATTACTCTTGTCTAATTGATGAAGTATGATAATGTAACTATAACTGTGTTCTGATAGATGTTAATTTCGATTATGACTAGTCAGTAATTTTAAACTGATATCATTGAGAACACAGTTCCAGTGGATCAATCTAAATGTTGCATGTTATCCCTCTTCCCTGTGATATACACTACATGTGTATACAAAATTATATGTGTAATCGATCATTATATTGAAATAACACACACCTTTGACTATAACTTTAAAGTGTAATGTACACAAATGTTCAAAACGATCTTTCAAAGAAATCCTTCACATATCAATATGATTTTATGATCTTATTCTATCCAATAATAAAGACGACGATATAGACCACCTATTGCTTTTCACTACATATTCTTAACTAATGAAACATCTTCTTGTACATATCTTCTTCCATATATTTTTTCCTTTTACATAAGCTAAATAAAAACTATTAATATTTTACATTTATTGATAAATTCTAAGTAGTGCAGTCTTTATTATTGAAGAGGAAATTTAAAACGTATTTTGTGAATTTACAATACATCAACATGTACCTGACACTATCAAAAGCCATTACTATTAGCAAAATATCATATATGTTTTCAATGACACTGATGCAGCTTAAGCTGTTTTCTGGTAAAGAGCTTGAATTTTTTTGTCTTTTTTTTTTTTCTTTTTATAGTTTAGTCATATCGATTTCTTTCTGAATGAAATAAATTAAGTGAAGATCGATTAAGTATCGGAAATGTACTAACATTCCTGGTGCTCAATCAATATAAAACTTTGTGATAACTTTTACTGCAAAGTAGGAAGTATAACTTTTCACTTTTACATATAAAGTATTGTATATGCTCAAATATTTATACAATACTTTACACACTTTAAAGAACAATATCTAGTTGTGTCATATAACTTTATATCAGTTTTCTCCCTTGTATCAGTATTTTTTAACATACTTTTATATGCTGGTTATTGGTCGATGAAAACTTACACTGTTATAATCAGGGTATCCTGTTAACTTTAAAATCGTCTATATGACGTCATTTCGAGATATGGGAAAGGAAATCTTGATGTTTGAGGCTGAGAAGTCTGCTGAGTATGAATAGGTGAATATGATGGCTGTTGGAGGAGCGGAGAATTTTGTTGATTTTGCAATGGTGATAATGACTGACCAGGAGAATGTGAATGTAAATTTTGTGGATGAGAAAATGATAATGCATGATGACAAGGAGAAGTTTGTGAATTTTGTACATTAGCCTGGGGTATGTTCAAATTGTTTGTAACATTGATATTATTTAGTATGTTGAGACTGTTAGAAACATTATTGGGGATTGTCAGATTGCTCGGAATACTGAGTGCGTTTGGAATATTTATGCTTGTTTGT